GGATATCCTGCCGTCATTATCTCGCCGCGGAATATCCGACTTGAGCGTCGCGGTGCCGCGTCGTGCCTTACGTCGCTGTCAACGCCGTCGAATATCACCCAGGCCTCCTTCGTGGCTCGTTCTCGCCGGCGACAGCGGCCATCGCAGAACACGGAGAACATCATCCTCATCAACGTCATCTCCGTCATACCTCACGTGCCTCAGTAGTCCTCTTCGTCCTCCGCGGCCCGCGCTGCCGCAAACGTCGCCGCATTGTCCTCGTCGTCTCTATATCCCGCCAGTGAAACGTCGTCCTCCACGAAGCTCGTCCGTCGCTGCTGGCAGCAGGACGATCATCCTGTCCGGAAGTCGCTGTCGCGCCTGTCGTCTGTCGCGAGAGCCTTACCTGGACACGACGACAACACCAACGACGAGAACGACGTCGACGACCGTCGCCCAGGCGGAGGGACACTTTTTTACGCACCCTTTTGCACCGCATAGACGCGCATTTGATGATACTCACTTTACAACAACCCACGCCGACCAGAGTCGCGACGAGAGAGCGCTCCGTTTAACGGCCGCCATCCTCCGCGTCGGACATATCAACAGACTCCGTCCACAAACGCCTAACTCGAAAGTACAGCCTAAAACACTACGCGAACAATGTCGCGCAGCGCTGCCACGCGGCCTATGCAAGGTGAGTGTGAGACCTCAGCTCCTCTTTTACTCATCCGCATCTGATACGCGCGTATCATAGCTTTTCTGAGTACCGAAACAGCTAGTTTTTCACGCGCGACGCTGCGGCGACACTTCTCTGCATCAATGATTCTCATTACGAACAACGGTGACGGTGACGTCATGTTCACCGGGATTTAATAATGTAATGTGAGGTAAGCGTCCATATCGTATTACGTGTAATCTTCACCGCAACGTGAAGCGCGTCAGCTTGATGAAGAGAACTCGAGCGTCTATTACGTGGCCTTCTGGACTTCAACGGACGCACATGCAGGGGTTGACATCGAGGAAATGCCCCTTTCAAATCGAGCGATGACACGCTTCCTTTACGCCACTCTTGCTCTCAATCCCCCGACTGTCCAAGCCATGCTATCGCGGAATTATTGTGTAGCGTTGTATTCTTCTGCCCACACGTTTATTCTCGGCGATCCCCCTCTATTCACAGGCCGATACGCTATTTCGTCAACTGTTCCGCCGGCTGGCAGGGCGCCTTATGTTGGTCATCTCTCTTCATTTGGGCGAGTATCGAGTGCTTCGGTTAATTTTGAGCCTTGACTACGAGAATGGATGGTTCATTATTTATTCTTTAAATTATTTTGACCATAAAATATCTTCCACTGCTTGCTATATAAGTTCCCATCTTTCCATCTTGCTGGCAATCGGTGGATTTCATGGTAGAAAAAGGATATTCTTATGAAAGCAATCTATTCATTGTCAACCGTGAAAATTAACCTAAAACTCGCGAAGATGAAACAGTTACTTCTGCAAACGTTTATATACTGAATAATTACGTATTCCAATGGTACTATTCAATACCGGCTTGGCGAAGGCTGGCATTTAATTTCTACATTATCTACAAATTTTATATTATCTAAAAATATTAAAACACTCCGGCCGCTCTCTCTCTCTCTCTCTCCCTTTCGATTATTTAGAATATACTTCTCCATTCTTCATTCGCACAAAAAAGAAGCAATCCCGAGCAGCATTCTTTTGAGTCAGCTTCCAGCGAGGGTGTGTCATTTCTTCGTCAAGAGAGTCACCCTAACCTCATTTTCACCACATTTTCCGTCTGTGATGAGATATTTCTCCGCGAAAGAGACCGATTAAAAGTCGCGAAGCTGTTTTCTCGAAAACGTCCATGCACCGATTTAGTTAAAACTTTGTAAATAGGTTTCTTTTAGGTAATAAGAAAGAGTACCGGAAAGATTTTTGGCGACTCAAAAATTGAGAATCCTTTTTAGTAATTATTCATAATTTGGCTATTGTCTCGAAAATGATTGTGCTCTAATTTAGCTTGAACTTTGTAAATATAGGTTCTTTTTAGGTAATAAAGGAGAATTTTCTGCAATTCAAAAATTAAGCAAATTTTTCAATGATTGTTCATAATTTCATAATTGTTTCGAAAATGATCATGTTCCGATTTAGCTCCAATTTTATGCATAAGTACTTTTTAGATGATAAAGATATATATTAGAAGAATTTTTAGCGATTTAAGAGTTAAGTAACTTTTTTAATGGTTATTCATAATTTAGCCGATCATGCTTCGACTTAGCTTAAACTTTATAAATAGGTTCCTGTTAAGCGATAAAAATGCATATTAGGATTTTTGGCAATTTAAAGATAAGCAATTTTTTAACAGTTATTTATAATTTGACGGTTGTTTCGAAAAATTTATACTCTGATTTAGTTCAAACTTTGTAAATAAATCCATTTTAGATAATAAAGAAGATTATACTAGATATATTATTATATTAGAAGATAATACTTTAGAAGATTTTTAGCGACTTAGTAGATCCTGGATTCAATTGAGAGAGGAATATGTGCTTATGTGTGTGAAACAATTTCGGACTTGGGTAAAGTAGAAAGAATAGGTTAGATTAGGTTAGATAGATTAGATAAACTTTTGAACGATTAATTCTTTCGAGGTTTGTTCAGTTCGATTATACATTACGGAAATTTTTTAAACTTTTTATTTCTTAAAATGAAATCGAAGGTAAGACATTTTTTACGCAAAATAAAACGATCTTTCAGTTTTCAGTATAAAAATACTCATTAAAAATACTCACTTTCGCTTGAAACATTTAAATTGATCTTGGAATAATCTTAGAAACGTTCTCCCAAAAATATTTCTATAGTGTCAACTTACGTAGGTGGTCTGAAAAGTTCTCGACCTGACACATACATGGATTGCATTAGAAACTGTCAAACTATAATTGTATAATTGTATGGAAAGTGGCATCCCTGATATAAACCCATGTAAAATTTTATTCGATCTGTCAAGTCATTCGAGTAATAGCACCAGTTGAAAAAGCTTTGTACAAGATGGGTGCCGCATTTGCTAACAATTGACCAAAAACGCATTCGAATGCGTATTTCTCAAGCGTGTTTGGCACATTTTAATCGTTTCAAGCAAAATAAAATGGATTTCAAGTGTCGTTTCATAACTGTTGATGAAACTTGAATCCACCACTATACACCAGAGCGAAAAGAACCTTCCGGAATCACGCTTTAATGATGGTATTGAATTATTGGAAAGACGTTGGAATAAATGTATTGAAGTTTCAGGAGATTATATTGAAGAATAAAACATATTTTACGGCAAAAAAAGTTTCTTTCATCGTTAGGCCGAGAACTTTTCAGACTGCCCTCGTATATCTCTCTTCAGATACTTCAACTTTTGTTGGTTACGATTTTTTTAGAAACTTTATTTTTGGAAATAAAAATTCATAACGCTTTATTTTGTTCATTCTTTGTGTCAAGGTCAGAGTCATCGGCAGGATATCCCCTTTAATATAATTATTTAAAAAAACTAGTTTAACATTTGAATATCTTTTTACGATACTTATGTTTTGTCTAATAAAAGCCTATTTACAAAGTTTGAGATAAATCAGAGCATGGACGTTTTCGGAAGTTTCGCCTTCTCATATTTTTCTTCCCGTCGTTGAAATTTTTATAAATTGTTCGATTGTTATGACATGAGTGTAGATGATCTGTTTGGCACATGTGGACGATGTTCCTCTTGCTGAACCGCTCATTGTTTCTTGTTGAAGACGAAAACGATTTTACCTAAAAAAAGAAGTCTCACGATTTTGAGCGATTCTAGACTGATTGAAAAAGAATCGCTTTGCAGAGATATATTGCAGAGATATTTGTATACTTAGTAGAGTAGTCCCTTAATATATAGGGTGTCCGGGTCTTTTGGAAACGAAAAATTGTGATTAATTTGATCTGATTAATCTTCACAATTTTTCGTTTGATCAGTCAGATCAAACTGAGAAGAAAAGTCAAGTACCATTTTGCAAAAATCGCTATTTGCAATTTCGCAAAAATAATTATTAAGTTATTAATGATTGAAAATGACCACATCCAGAGATTTTTTAATTTATAACATGAAAATTTGCGTACTTATTTGCAAAATGGTAAAAGAGTTTTTTGTTAAGAATGACCTAATCTACAATTATGTGACGGCTATTGAGTCTAGCGATAAATACGAATGAATTGAACTTTGAATCCTGAATTTTGGACCTGTCGCTGGGCACAATAGCCGTTATATAATTGTAGATTAAGCCGTTTTAAACAAAAAAGTCCTTTACTACTTTGCAAATAAGTATGCAAATTTCCAGGTTATCAATTAAAAGAGCTAGATGTGACGATTAATAACTTAATAACTATTACGATTTTCGCAAAATAGCACATGACTTTTTTTCTCAATTTGATCGGATCAATTTTCCGTTTCCAAAAGATCCCGTGCATAATTACCTAAAAAAACTAGTTTAACATTCACGTCGCCAGATATCCCGCCGAGATATTTATTCTTTACCTAGAAAGATATATATATATATATATTTGCAAAAGTTCGAGAGAGCTAAATCGGAGCGCGCACGTTTTCGGAAGTTCCGCCAGTCACGAGAGAACCACGTCGTCCGAGACTACGTCAGCGCTAAGAAAAGCACCCCCTCTCTCGGAGGTGGAATCTTTACCGACTCGCAACAGCAGCAGCGTCCCGTCCGGGGCGGTTCGTGTCCCCGCGGGTCGTCGCGCTCGTATCAGTTGGTCGAGAAGCGTGCATGGTTCTCGGGGTGCTTCCGATCGATCGCCCGCGACTACCCTTCGCCAGTGCAGCAGCAACCCTTTTTACTCGGTCGGCCGACCGAGTTCTCGATCGCGCGTCTAGAATTTTCGCCGTACCGGCGTTGCGACGCGGCGCGGCGCGGCGCGGCGCGGCGCGTGGCGCCGTCGTTGGACGACGCCTCGAGATCGCACGTCGACGCTACTGCCAGCCAGCTCCTGTGTGTGTTAGCGCGACGCGACGCGACGCGACGAGCTGTGCCGTTACTTGGCGCTGCTGGAAGTGCGCCGTCGTGAGTCTCCGCGAGAGAGAGAGATCGGACGTTGTCCTGGTGCGTTCTGACTGTGGTGATTTGCGTTGCTAGTGCGTGCGTGCGTGCGTGCGTGCGTGCGTGTATGCGTGCCGCCGTCCGCGAGAGCAGGCCGTTACCAAGCGGGGTGTCTTCTCGCGGCCGCGCGCCGGCTCGTCGTCGTCGTCGCCGTCGTCGGCCTCGCTCGGTGACTCTCGCTCCGCTGCCGAGGCGATGACGCTGGTGTGATGGTAACGACGACGACGACGATCACGCTGCTGGATGCGGAAGGCTGCACCGAGTGCTGCTGGTGGCTGTGAGGCGCGGGACAGTGTCCGCCCAATCACCGGCTGCTGAGTTCTACTCCGGATTACTCGGACGTTCTACCGTAGAAGAGGAGGAGCAGGCCAGACCGCTGACGACGGTGAGCTGACGGCGCTGACCGAAGGACCACGTCGACGATGTTCGATCGTCGCTCCGCGTATCCTCGGGCAGCGCGTCGTCGCGCGATTCCGCAGTCGTGGTCGCGACGGACCTTGTCAGGGCGCGCGGGGCGGTGCGCGATGATGGTGACGGCGTGATGACACGGATTCGCCGTCGCGCCTCCGCCGACGTCATCGCGCCCTCATCCTCCTCCTTCCCGTTCCCATCGCGCCGAGCGCGATCGGAGGATACTCTTCGCGCAGGATACGCGGATACGGCTTCGACCTGTGCCCCCTATTGCGCTCTCCTTCCTTGCGTATATGCTCGGGATAACGCAACGTTGACCTCATCGCGACGGCGATCGATTGCCGTGTTTAAAAGCCTCTCGGCCGCCTCGTTCGTACGCGCCGCGTCTCGTCGTCGTTGAAGCGAGCACGCGCTTACGCGGCTGAGGAGGCTCCGCTCTCGGCTCTCCTCCTCGCCCTCGCTCTGTCCTCCTCTTCCTTTTGGCTGGCCGCGCGTCTCCTCCGAGCAGCGAGGGAATCGGAAACGGCCGGTCACGTCGGCGCGGCGGAGAAATCGTTCGCCAGCGGAACATTTTTCGTACGTCTCTCAACCCTCAAAGTGAGATATATATTTTTGTCCCAGTCGGCGAAACCCTCGATTCCACGGACGAAGGATTCTGCTTTCTCTCTCGATGGGATTCTCATTTTTCTCGCGCTTCAACGGAGCTTTAACTCGATTATCGGCGCAATGTTTTGATCCCATTGTCATTGATTTCGTTATGTCCTGCGACTTCCTGCGGCTTCTCACTCTTCGCAATCTCGATTTATTCACTTCTTCCTCCTCCCGTTCCCGCCCGACGACGACGGCGATCGTTAGAGAACGGCGTCTCTGCCCTCGTGGCAAATGCGGCGGTGAGAGGATCAAGTCGCGCGCTCCTTCGACCACGACGTAATGACGACAAGTGAAAAAACACCGTGCGCGTAATCGAGCCGGCCAGGTGGTCACTTGTGGTCTGGGGAATCCTCGAGGATACAAAGGGTTTGCGCGCATATTGGGAACCGCGCGCGCGACAGAGAGAGATAACCAGGCGACCAGCGGGATGAGATCTTTCCGTAGGAGGCGAGAGATTCCGTCTCCGTGTGCTCCTCTTCCTTTTCCCTGCCGCGGCTCCTCCTTCTTCCTCCTCCTCCTCCTCCGATCAATTCGCCCCGTCGACGTGGCTCTCGCAGGAGAGACGCCGCCGACGCGACGCGACGCGACGGTCGTTGATGTTTATCCACGATGCAAAATGCAGCTCCCTTTCGCCCCGCGAATGCCGATGAAAAGTAGGTTACTCAACCTTCTCGGGGGGCCGATGTTGATTTTGCAGCTGCATTTGCGTGCCTGTCGATCGATAGACCGCAGGGAAACGACGCGAGACAAGACAGGAAGTTCTCCTCACGGCCCCCCGAAAGTGCGCGGTTCTCTTTCGAGTTTAATTAATTAGAAATCTCCGCCGAGTCCGGTTCACGCGCGGCTTGGCTCTCTCTCTCTCTCTCTCTCTCTCTCTTTCGCGCGCGCGCGCGCACTTCGACATTTACCGAATCGCCCGGTCATAACTCCGACCTTGGGAATGTATTTGCCAAGGGAAATTATGTTAGCGTAACGAGACGAAGAGAATCCACAGAGGATTTTCTTTTTTCTTTTCTTTCGCTCTTTTTTTCGTACGGCCGTTTCTTCTCGGAAATGGGAGCGCTGCCGCGGCCGCCGCCGCCGCCGCCACGTGTCGTTAATCATATCGGCGGTTTGCGAACGCACGCGCGATCAATAATACACACGCAGATGGACAATCAACTAGTGGCTGAATTATTGCAAGGCTAAGAGTAAATAGACGGTTCATCGAAAATTCTATTATATCTGGCTTATCTGATCGGATGCGCTTGTCGCAAGGTCGCCGGGAGAGGGAGGGAGAGAGAGAGAGAGAGAGAGAGAGAGAGAGAGAGAGAGAGAGAGAGAGAGAGAGAAGCAAGAAGAAAAATTATCGTTTCACTGGCTGAGCGCGGATAAAGTCGGCTAAGTTCGCTTCCTCGAAAAGGACGAGCTTCCGCTATCCTGGAGCGCGCACAGCCGGACACGAAAATTGGACAAATTTGCGTTTGTGAGCAACTGGAGTAGGAAAATTAGTAGGGCTTTGGTAAAGGTCGAATTATTTTTCCCTAATTCTTTTTTTTTTTTATATATATATAAAGTTAGTAAGTTAACGTGCGTTACTTGCATTGCAAAAGAACAAGAACATAAGAAATACATAATAAATAAGAAATGTAATAACATAATACTAGTTTGTCATATGCACTTGACGCAAATTTTCTAACATCACTATTTTTATATGGAATTAAATGTTTTCAAATGTTACAAATTACTATTTTTTATAGAACAAATTTTCTAAGGAAATTTTATTTTCATCATTTTTGTTGAAAATGAAATTATAAAACAAAAGATATATGCACAGAGCGTGTATCTTGGCGCTTTTTTTTTACCTTTTTTTTTGAAAGGTTATTTTTCCCTAACATTAATCGGGCTCTAATAGGAATAGAAAGACAAGGGCCCTATAAGATGTGTAACAAATGGTTTAAGAGGTCCTTATAAGGCAGTATTATGAGGGCTTTATAAGGGCAATATCAACAGGATCTTAAAAGGCAATATTAATATTAATATTAAAAGGAAATATTTTTATTATTGCTTGAATAAAAATATTCGTACTTTTCATTCCAAGAAATTTAGACTGTAATTTCTTTATTTTTTTATAACCTTGTTAGCAGAACAAGAATTTTTTATTTTAAAAATATAATATACTTTTCAATAAAATTTAGCATTCTTTACACATAAAAATCCTGCTACAGTTTATATTAAAGTTTGCTGCATTTCAAAACGAAGGTAATACTAGAAAAGTCCTTAGAAGAGACTAATGAATATAGCGACTAATAAAACTAATAAAATGTATTTTTAATTGCGGTATAATAAAAAAATCTTTAAAAGAACCAGATAGAGCGTACCTACTAAAACAATATTAAACTATGACAATTTTATTACACGCTTCAGATCTTATTAATTTTTTATAATAAAACTTGATTTTGTATATCTAAAGTATCCTCTTAAAGGATCTTTCTAAGACCCACATTAGTTTTCCATGTTAAAGTATTATTTCGTAAAATCCACCTCTAATAAATTCTTCTAAGACCCTCATCAGTCTTCCTTATCAAAGTCTTATTTCGTAAAATCTAAGGTATCCCTAAAAGATCCAAATCGGACTCTGATGTGGTAATAATGAATCATCTCTTTTTAGGGCATTCTACTTTCAGCCTTATCGGGGCCTTATGCTTTATGAGGATGTTCCTAACAATATTTTGCTCGTGGAATTGTTACAGTTGAAAAATCCGTATCTGGTAATGAACGTTGTTAAAAGAAAAAAGCGAATTAATCGATGGATTAATATTCATGTGCTCGTTTATTCGCTTCTTTTTTTCTTTTATCAAGAAAGAGTTCTTTTCTTTCTCTGAACAGGAAAGAAAGAAGCGAGTAAACGAATATTAATATTATACATTGATTCTTTTCCCTTTTAACGAAGTCTTTTTTTTCTTTTTTTTTCAATAAGAAAAAAAAGTGGCGAATAAACAAATATCACAAAATGTTATACATTGACTTTTTTTACACAAAAAAGGGTTTTTTCTTCTTTTCTCTCAACAAAAAGAAAAGAAGCGAGTATCGATGGGCAACACTAAGGTTTAACAAGATTCATTATCTTACGCTAATTGTAAATTATAAACCTTTGATGTTGGAGCGTGAAGTTCTTGGGAGACTTGGTCGCTCGATTGATCCGCTTGTCACTTTATTGTTGCAAAATGGCAGGAGGTCGCCGAACGACGCCATTCTTCACACTTCGATCTCTTATTGCTTAATCGCTTAGCTCGCGATGGGAAACTTAAGCCGCGTCACATGGAACGCATCCCACCGTTGCTGGCCACTAAGCGTTCTTTGGCGAATTGGAGGCGGAAATGTAAGCGTTTCTAATTATAGCGATAATCAACGTCGAAAATTAGAAGTCTTTGGCAGAGTTTCAAGGATGCAAATCGATTGGGACTTGTTTTCCGGCCGAGAGTGTAAGTCGCCTTCGAGCGTTCGCTCTCTCCCTCCCCCTTCCACCCTCTCACCCTCTCTGTGCGCGGAGAACTTAATTTCGACTGTAAAGTTGAAAATAGCTGATTACCATTTCGAGGGGACGGTAGATCTTTCATTCGCGAAAGAGTTCGTCCGCGATATCTCGTCAAAGAATTCGTGGTTGAAAGGACATCCGTTAATGGCGGGGCGCCCTGTGTAGGACACGTGGATTTACGCAAGACGATGGTGACGCTGCTTGTTGGCCTGGAAAACTTAAACTGGAGCGACCTAATAACACCCGACATTCATAGAGAATGAGTGCTACGGTCATTATTAATACTCCATGGCCGGCTCGTGTATACGCGCGTGTTTTGCACCCGCGCGACGGTGACTATTTAATGCGTTCGGCACCGTCGATTCACGGCGTTGCGGCGTCAGCGTCTACCGATCTCGTCCGGTAATCAATTGCAATTTCCACTCGCGACTCGCGCGCTAATATTTTATAGGTTCCCCGGTGTGGAACAGGCTTTACCGTCGACACGTTTCTCGGGAAACGCAAAGAGGAGAAAGCTCCATCGGTTTCTAATTATTGTTGTCAGGCGTTCCTCCGAGCGAGACGAGCTCGGCGGTATTTCCAATCACTTCCTCCGACGTCCACCTCGAAATTTTATCCGAGATTTTTCTAGACGAAGGCGAAGATACTTCAGCGTAACTATACTTCCGAGAGATCTTACCCTACTTGGGGAAATTTGAAAAACTTCCAAGAGACATCTCTTCTTGTTTTCTAGATCGACAAACCGGCTCTCTCTCTCTCTCTCTCTCTCTCTCTTTCTTTATCTATCTTTTTGCAGGCGAGAACGT